ACCATATAAAGGCTCGGGAATTTGCAGGTGCTTTTGAATTAATTTGCTGAGGCTTCGATTTGTAGTTTTCATAAGTTGTAAACCATCATTATCACATGTAGCACCATGAAGGGACTGTTTTCCCCTCTCTCCTCATGAAGAACTTATCTCCGTGAGATATTGCTCAAGGCCTTTGATGCCTCTGCATCTAAACTGTCTTAAATAGCTATTTGCCTCCCCCCTACAGCTCAAGAGAAGATCAGAAGAACTCTATTAAATAATAATCAAATAACTTTGTTAGTCCAAATAATCATGTAAAGCTCAATGTTAAATCAATCTGTGAAATGAGAATATTAATTACTTGATATTATAAGCCTATGATAGTATTTTAATAAGTAATATAACTTTTAAACTACACACTAGACTGATCACACGTAATGTTAAGATCACATGACACATTCCTTTGTCTCTCCAATCAGAGCTTTCCTTTCTGACTTGTGGCATAATCTGTGCGGTGTTTATTTTTGTTGTCACATTCTGATTCGACCATAAATCAAAACATCTGAATTATAAAACTAATTCCCATGTCACCCTTAACTCAGTTCAAACGTTCTAGAGTTGCGAGCCGGCCACTCATAATTTTTTAATCACAAAGAACCTAACGACAAGCTGGAAAATAAACATGTTGCAAGCTACACCTGACGCAACGCTCCTTCAGAGTAAAAGCTGAACTCACTGACCCTTCAGGGTCCCGCTGACGCAGTCAACAACTGCCGCTTACCGGGAGGCAATCCCAAGACTAGTCTGTCGTACCGTACGCTGTTTCACCGTCTCCGTTACAAAGGCGGGTCCGAGGACCTGGCATTCTGGATCTACAACGGAGGTCTCCATTAAGGGTATGTGGCGCGGCAAGATAGCGTCTGAATGTGTTTTTTTTTAACTACGACTATAGTTTAGAGCAAAAACATTCGCTCCCACACAAAACGAATGCTTCTCTGGAAACGAGAGTTCTGATAACAACATTCCACATTAAAACATCCATCTTGCCTCATTCACAACCTAGATCCATTCATCACATAGAGTGTTTAGAGTTAGAGTTAGCCTTGTTTTAACTTGTTTAGAAATAAATCTTCTTAAACTTTAAAACTTGTCTCTATCTTTTGACTCTGGGTTATTATGAAGTGTTACCTAATCCCTGCAATAAAAAGTTCCGATCTTCTGTTTAAAGGTAGTATTCAAAGATACATCAAATTAATTCCATATTTTCTATGGAATCTCACCTTTGATGGTTTCTTATGTAAGATGCAACTTTTGAATCACTACACACAATTATAACAAATACACGCATGAAAAAGCCTCTTTGTATTTAATGAGTGTCTCATGTATTTGCTTTATCTTTTAATTAGAATTAGTGAAAAAAAAATCACTTTGGCACCATTTTCAAATTTTTAGAGGTTCGTCTGTAAATCAGGTATGGTCTGCTATGGAAGTTGGTAGCAGGACTTTATATGATGTTGACAAAATTAGCAAAAGTCTGTGAGAAAATTCTAAATAAATGAGTTTTCAGTGAAACAGACCAAAATCCACTTTTGCTCTATATCTCCAGGTGTCTTAACAGTAAAAATATTCAAAATTTAAACAGGTCACAGAAAGTTGGACTAAACTTACTAGACTGAACGAGAATTTTGATCTTTTATACTTTTTACATAAACACGGTTTACAGTTCACACTTTTTGGACAGCTTTTGATTTTCATTTAGTAACTGAACTGTTCAAAATGTTTGCAAAAATATTATTTTTACTTCCTTCATTTTGGCAGTCGAGATTATCCCGCCTTCTCACTGGAATAATAAGCTGTGTGTAACGTAATAGACACATTTTACCTGCAAGCTCCCTTCCCACCTGGAGCGTTTCAGACGTGCAATGGCAGTTAAAGCGTTCTCCCGTGAGGTCTCAGTCACTGGAGAATAGCAAGACCACGCGTGATTTTGGCAGATCATGTGAAAACAAGCAAGGAAAAAGATGGCAGCATGTATCTAAACAGGTCTGTGGTGCATTTTCTGTTCTGTTTACCTCAGTAACGGGGGTTTTAGAGGTAATGACATAGTTTTTTACAAGTTAAAGGTGTAGTATGTAAGAATATATTGAGAATTTTACAGTGAGAAAATCCCAAAAAAGTCCAATGTTTTAGTTAATTTGGAAGGACGGTTATACTGAAACATATTTCGTATCTATCTGGCTGCTGAGATCGTCAGTTTTTCCCCTTTCACAACAAAGGCAGGAGGGACGTAACTACTGTTTACCATCAGTGAGTGTGGGGTTGCCGTGTCTCCTGCGAGCTAATACTGCAGCGCCCGCAATTGTAATTTGACGATAGTTGACAAAATGCTCCAGAGTTGTTGAAAGTGGTTGCAGTAACCACATTTTACCACAGGATGTCATTTTTACTCTATTTCTACATAATGCACCTTTAAGCGACAGGAAATTTGCACGACTTTAATTTTGAAAGTTTCTGGATGTTTTACACTACATTTATGTTTGACTGCTGAGCTTGACACCTTCTGGAATCTTGGAGCATAAAAAATAGACTCAGAGTGCAAACAATGTGTCCCTACGCTTCTGGGACACGTCCAAAACGTGACGCTTCGTATCCACTTTAATGGCAGCTAACTGCTGCTTGTGCTTCACAGGCGTTATGCGCTGCTTACGTGTCCAGTGAACAGGCCCAGTTTAGGGTCACTGCACATTTAGCTCTTATACTTTGGAACCAAATTCTTTTTGAGATTAAACAGTCTTTGGGTGTTTCTCAATGCCAAGGAACCTCGCCTTAATGTCTTGGCCCAGCCCCAGTTGCCTAGGAGAAACGTCATCAGGAGCCGCCAAGACGTGTTCTAATGTTCATGTTCTACCAAGGTGTGTTCTCCGTTTGTTAGCCATTTAGCTAGCTGAACAAGGATCCACGGGAGATGTCTTGTAGCCTAGCCTTGGTAAAAAATTTCCCAGAATACACCGCTGCATTTTCAAAAGGATGGCGGATCAGACGCCGGCAGCTACTTCGGGGGCAAATTTCAAGTTTAAAAGTAAGTCAACTAATTTAAAATGTTTATATTTTAGATCCAAAGAAGTTATCTATGGTTGGTTAGTTGCTTAGTGGTTGCAGCTTCGGTGGCTAGCAGTAATAACTTGCTTATATATTGAATTTAACAAATATATACACAATTTAAAAAGTAAAAGGCTCGTTATATATTTGTATTGAAACTAATACGAGTAAAATATGACGTTATCTCCCGTGTCACGATGCAAGTCTGTTCCATTTAATCGTTTTCTTTGACCAAGAAAGGACAGTGTCCTCATAAGTAAGGCGCCTGGCCTCGCAAGACATCGTCTTGACATTGAGAAACACCCTTCGTTTTTTCAGCTTTTGTAACAGAACCCTGATTGAAAGTGTAACGTGATGAAGGAGCTATTCCTCCAAGGTTATTTAACCTCTCTCCACAGATGTCTCTGACACAGTGCTCGAGTGCATGAGACTGCCTCAAGGTCATGCATTTGCTTCTAAAACTGTTTACTTTCCAGCAAGAGAAGAATGAACATAAGACTCTTTTCTTTTATTAAATCAAAGAATTCTATTTTTAGTAAAGCTAATCAAAACAAGTGTTAGTCAATAGTACAATGTCGACCGATCTGTGGAATAAAAATGTGATGATTAATATGCTTTAATAAGTAAATGACTTTAATCTAGTGCACCAGACACACTGATACACGTAATGTAAACACATGACACATCGCTGTTACTGATCCAATCAGAACCTTCCTTTCTGAAGCGTGGCATAGTCTCTGTGGTGTTTATAAATCTGCCAGCTTTGATTCGACCAGAAATCAAAACATCCAGATTAATAAAACCAGTTCTGCCATCTTAGTTCAGTTCTCAAGATCTCACTGGAGTTCACCGCATGCTAAGCGGAGTATCGGCCCGGCCATCTGTACTTCCCTTTTTAAGCTGAGAACCAACAAGCTGGAGAAAATCTATTGCATTTTACCAACCAAGCAACGGTTCCTTTCAGAATAAAAGCTGAACTCACTGACCCAAAGAGGGTCCCTTTTTGACGCTGTGAACCACCTGTCGCGTTTTACCTGGAGACAATCCAAAGACTAGTTTGTCGTACTGTTGACGCTGTTTCACCGGCTCCTGTACCGAAAGGGGCGTCCGAGGACCTGACATTCTGGATCTGTAAGGTCTCATCTCAAGGGTATTTGTGGAAGCGACAATATGGCATCTCGTGTTTATGAAACTACTCCGGTCAAACTCTGATCGTAGCTAGGAGCAAAACATCATTACATCATTCAGACTTGCTTCTCCGGATACGAGAGCTCTGATAATAACATCACTCACACACACACCATTCATCTCACGCCTCATTTACACCAGATGCATCCATCATCAGTTAGAGTTAGTCTTGTTTAAAATTGTTTAAATTGTTTAGTAAATACATCATCTTAAACGTTTTAAAGGACTCTCTCTTCTCTGGTCTCTCAGTTAATACAACGTGTTACAAAATCCCTGCAATAAAAAGTTCCAATCTTCTGGTTGGATAACTCAGTGGTCCGTAAGATTGATTCCATACTCGATATGGAATCTTAATGTCTCATGGTCCTTAAGTAAATGTAAATTAACTTCTTTACAAAACTTAAAAAAGGTTTTTGTTGTTTTATGTTTTTTTTTTGTTTTCCATTGTTACTTTTTTGTCTTTATTTTTTATGTTATTGTTATTTTGTTATATTTGCTTCTTCACCATGTACAGCACCCTGGGCCTGCGTGGTTGTGGTAGGAAGATGATCTATTAATGAACAATTGATTGATCCAATCAGTCACTTGACTGTACAAAGTATTCATCAAAATGTGGACATTTTCATATCACATTATTTAAGAATTTCTCTGAATATTGTCAGGATGCAACACCGTTTAAATATCTATCAGCACCCTACTGTCCTCACGGAATGGACTCAAAGAGAAAAAATAAATGGTATGCAGATCACATTTTATTTGGTCCTTTGCTTCACACTGGTTCAACTAACCCAGCTTTATCATCTCCAACTAAACAGTCAAACAATAAAATACAAACATTTATCCAAACCAATGTCGTTATCCCAGGATTTCCTGGTTGTTCCATTATTTACATGTTTGATTTGACTGGATCAGCGGTCCAAACATGACAGGTGGCTTCAGAGCCAGTGCAATTTCCTTTTACCTCAGAGCTGCGGCACTTACATGTTACTACTGTGTGTGCCTGTAAACAGGAGAGAGAAAAACAGACCTATGATAGGTGTAATAATAAAGAGAATGGAGATGTGAGGGACCAATGAGTGAAGAGTCTTTGTTCTGAGTTCAAAATAAAGCACTTAAAGCCCAACTGTTGCCAGGATACACAGACTGCAGGCAATTACAGAGCCAGATTAGTGTGGGGAGGAGAATCAGTGATACTGTCAACGGAGCACAACTGAATGTGTGTGTGACTGTACGTGTGTTTCATTCAGCGGGATGAGCTTAAGTGCAGATATGTGAACATGTTGGAACAAATTGGTAATGATTTTCTTGGTCTGGATCCCCCTCTGCATGTCACATCTGTGAGTGTGTGTGTGTGTGTGTGTGTGTGTGTGTGTGTGTGTTATCACAAAAGTGTTGACAAGTGATTCATGCAGTACTGTCACCTCTGTGATACTCTTTGGAAAAATAATGAAGTTATTAAAAAAAGAAAAATACAGATGAAGTGAAAAATTTTGGGGGAACAAACACAGTCATGTTAAAAAAAGATTACACCATATTTAATGACTGAAATCATCTCGTCTTGTTGAGTTTTTAATGATACATATAAAAACCATCTCAGATGAACATTTTACATATTCTTTCATGTCGTTGTTCATAAGCAGAGCACATATAAAAAGTTATTTTGAAAAAGTTTGGAGAAATTACTTGAAATGCACAATCTTTCCAGGAGCGGACATCTCAGCCAGTCTGATACTTTAGAACAGCGTTTCCCAAACCTATTTAGCCGAGCACCCCCTTCTACAGTATGTCCCGACCATGTCGACGCACCTCCCAGCCCCCACATCAGGGCATGGGTCTATATATATATATATATATATATATATATATATATATATATATATATATATATATACATACATACATACATACATATATATATATATATATATATCAGACATCAAGCTAAACAGTCACTCGACAGACAGGGCTAAAAATAATATGATCGACCTTTTCCCCCATCACCTTCATTTTTTAAATAGTAATTAATAAACATTCAATACATTACAATTTCCTTTGATTTAATTTTAAATAAACAACGCAATTTAAAGGTTTTCTTAAAGTAGGAACGTTTAACCAGAGCTCTCTCCTTCCTTCTGCTCTGCGTAAACCTGAACTGGTCACCTACTTGTGCGTAATCAAATATCTATGGGGAAAAGATGGAAAAGCTATAGCCATGAGGTTTAATTTTGCCTCAGACTGACTTATTGCTGTTTTATGGTGTGGCTGAATCTGCGATCCGCTGCCACGTGGACTGGAATAACAAATGCTGCAGTAACATGAGTTGTGGTCAGGTTCATGAGGAGTCACTGGCTGGAGCGGACTCGAATTTTATACATCATCCCAAAATAGAAGCTAATATCTTAATTTGATCTTGAATGAAAAATGTTGTTATAAAACATCTTAAAAGTTTTTATCACAGAGGAGGCAGCGCTCATTTCTGCCTTTAGTCTGACGGCGCGAGCCGGCGCGGCACAGCCCAACGCCGGAGTTTGCGCAACGTGCGCTTATTGAATCTGTGTGTGTGTGTGTGTGTGTGTGTGTGTGTGTGTGGCACAGCTCCATGAGCCGCTCCAGTCACTGCGTCTCGTTATTGGCGCTATTTAAACCAATGTTGTAAAATTACTTCTGCCCAGCCCAGATGTGCTCACTTGTGCACCCGTGAGCCGTGGTTCTGCTGGAACGCGTCTGACCTCTGACAGACGCACTCTGACCTTCAGATCTTCAGCGTGCTGTTAATAGCCTGACACGTTTAGAATGCTGTCCCACAGTCAGTGAGCTACTATAATAATATAATAATGCTAAAATGCTCAGATGGGAATTATTTCTTGTTATTTTGTTACATCCACAATGTTCTGTGTGTGAGGTTTACAATGTCAGAACACCTGCATGAGACAGGTGTTAATTACAATCTGCCAGAATGACTCACCACCTTCAGATTCCTCCAACATGTTAAAAATGATCAAATACTGAACATATCTTGCTATTGACAGCGTGTGCAGGTCAGAGCGCTGAAGCTTGGAGCGCATTATTATTATGAAGCTAGGGCACATGCAGAGGACACACACACACACACACACACACACACACACACAAGCAAAATATACTTGTTTTCAATTACATTTATTGGGCCCACCTACTTTTTTTAGGCCCACCCACAGATGAGTTTCTGGCTACGCTAATGGTGACATATGACAGACTTCTCTGAGCTCCGCAGCCATTACACTGTTCACCTCGCGCACCCCCTAGCGGCAGCTCTCGCACCCCCAGGGGAATCCCTGCTTTAGAATAACCCAAAACTCTACAGGCTTTAGTTTAAAAGTTAATAAAAAAGACAAAAATCAGTAAATTTAGAAAACCTATAGACATGATACAACATGGCTTATTTGTTTTTGTAATTAAACACAAAGTATCTTCAAAACACCAGAGGTGTCTAATCCCGGTCCTCTAGGGCCGCCATTCCCACCTTTTAATTTTTATTTCTGCTCCATCGCACCTGATTTATTATTTTTTACAGAAATTATTTGTCTGCTCTGTCTTCAGTGAGTCGTGGCAGATGCTTGTTCATACTGAGCCAGGTTCTGTTGGAGTTTTTTTTCCTGTTAAAGCTAGGCAGTTTAGCTAGGCAGTTTAGCTTGCTTTTTGCACCCCCTGATGTTTGTTATTAATTCTCTGTGATTAAACTGAAAATGAAACTTATCTCCTCGCTGTGCGTTCGTCATTTTAACGCCTTAATCTAGCAGCGGAAATGTCTCCTCAGCCTTCCTAAGGGTCTACAGAAGTGATTCATCTCTAAAGCAAACAAATCAGCTGTGCTCGTGATTGAAAACACGCAGGGAACATGCTGGGAACAAACTGCAGTGGCAGGCATGTCTGCTCATTTTTTTCTAGTACAGCAGGGGTGGCCAACCAGTCTGAAGTTGCAAGTGTGGTATTCTGGCCACAGGGGATGGTGGGGATCTGAGTGACTTCATTAACCTTATAAAGGGTCATTTTAGCAACTGGCTCAAGAAAATGATTTAAAATACGAAAAGGGGAGCTTCCTCTCCACTGTCGCTACACGTTTGATTAGTATGGGCATTGCTGTAAAATCTGACACAAGTCAGTGACTCGATGTAATCTGCTGGGTTTCCTCAACTAGGAAACTTTTAACTAATTGGCTAATTGAACTAAACTTGATGCACTGGTAAGCAGGCTCAATTGGGTTGTGCCTTGAGACGAAGAAGAAGAAGAAAAGATCTTTTCTATAGCGCCTCTCAAGATATGAATCACGAGGCGCTTCACAAAAACAAAAACATGTAAAAATATAAAAAATAATTTAGAAAATGATTAAAAACATATTTAAAATAAGCAAAAAATAGACAATTATGATTAAAATGTTAAGAAAGAGAAAGAGTGAATAGGAAAGACGGAAATCAGTGGATCCCGAGGACGGTGGAATAGGTGGGGAGAGCAGAATAAAAAGTGGTGATGAAGGTCAGACAAAATCCAGCGTGAACAAGTGAGTTTTCAGCTGCTTTTTAAAGGAGACCAATGAGTCCACTGATCTCAGGCTCAGGGGGAGAGAGGTCCAGAGTCTGGGGGCCACAGCAGCAAATGATCTGTCACCTTTGGTCTTTAGCCTGGTGCTGCACAACCAGTAGGCTTTGATCACTGGACCTCAGGGACCTGCTGGGGGTGTAGGGACTAAGAAGATCACCAATGTAAGATGGTGCTTGTCCATGTAAGGCCCTATAGACCAGAACCAGGATCTTGAAATGAACCCTGAAGTTGACTGGCAGCCAGTGAAGCTGGAGGAGAAGCGGGGTGATGTGGGTGTGTTTGGAGGACTTGGTCAGAAGCCGAGCACAGGCATTCTGAACCACCTGTAGACGGTTCAGGGAGGTTCTGCTCAGACACGTGAAAAGAGAGTTACAGTAGTCTAAGTGTGAGGAGATGAAGGTGTGGAGAACTGTCTCAAGTTCAGAGCGGGACAGAATGGGACTCAGCTTAGCACTGTTCCTGAGATGGAAGAAGGAAGAGCGAACAAGAGAACTGACATGAGAATCCAGGGTGAGAGCTGGGTCAAAGGTCACGCCAAGATTCCTGACGGAAGGTTTGGTGTGAGAAGCAAGCTGACCAAGAGTCTCTGACTTTGGGAACCAGCTTGTCTGGGGCACAGATGAGGATCTCAGTCTTATCTTCATTCAGCTGTAGAAAGCTCCCACCATCCAGGTTTTGATAGTCTAAGCAGGTGTGTAACAGCTGCAGCTTAGACATCTCATGGGGCTTAAAGGAGATGTACAGCTGGATGTCATCTGCATAAAGATGGTAGGAGATTCCTTTGAAGGAGCTCAGGATGTGCTGAAGAGGAAGCAGATAGAAGAGGAAGAGTAGAGGCCCCAGCACAGAACCTTGTGGGACACCATGGGTAAGGGAGGTGGTGGAGGACCTAAACTTGGAGACGGCCACAGAAAAGGAGCTCTCAGAAAGATAAGAGGAGAACCACTCCAGAGCAGATCCCTATAGGCCTACCCAGTCTCTCAGCCTCTCCAGTAGCAGGTGATGGTCAACAGTGTCAAAGGCTGCAGTCAGGTCCAGCAGGACCAGAACAGAACGGTCCCCTGCATCACTGTGAGTCAGAAGGTCATTAGAGACCCTAAGAAGAGCTGTTTCAGTAGAATGAGCTCTACGGAAACCTGACTGGAAGCTATCATAGATGTTATGTTCATCAAGATCAGCTGTGAGTTGTTTAGCCACAACCTTTTCCAAGATCTTGGAGATTAACGGAAGTTTAGAGATGGGTCTGAAGCTGCTATGGAGAGAGGGGTTTTTAAGAAGCGGGTGGATTACAGCGTTCTTAAAGTAAGCAGGAACCTGACCAGAAACCAGAGAAGCATTAATTATAGAGAGCACGCTGGGACCGATGGACTGAAAAGCACTTTTAAACAAAGATGAGGGTAAGATGTCGAGGAGGCATGCAGAGGTCTTCATAGAGTTAGCTAGTTTGGTTAACTCAGGCAAAGAAACAGGAGCAAAGCTATCTAGGATGATGGGCCTGGTTGGAGTCGGGAGAGGCAGCGATAAGGCTGAAGGAGAGATGCTAGATCTAACCTTACTGACTTTGTCCACAAAGAAAGACAGAAAGTTCTCACAGTCTGTAACAGAGTGGATGGAGGCTGTAGGAGAGGCAGGAGACACTATGCTGCTGATGATGTTAAACAGCACCTTGGGGTTCCTTTGCTCTGGGACACCAGTTTGGAGAAATAGGAAACCCTAGCGTCTCTGACTGCAGAGTTAAAGGATGTCAGAAGATCCTTTAGGTGCAGCAGATGGATGTGGAGATGGGTTTTCTTCCACAAGCGCTCAACTGTTCTGCATTGGAGAGCACGCTGGGACCGATGGACTGAAAAGCACTTTTAAACACTTTTAAAAACTTGTGAATTGGTGCAAAACAAATAAACTAAACTGAATTGAAATCAACCTCTGATTAACCTCCTCAGCGTGTGCTGAAATTCTGCAGAAGCTCGATTTAAACCAGGTGTGCTGAAACAGAGAAACATCCGAAACATGTAGGATGTTCATCCGACAACGATGATGTCCTGACACCTAAAAAAGAGCTGAAACAAAGTTTATTTACATGTTACCTTTAATGTAAGTGTGTTAGATCAGCTAGGATTCCCCTCAGTGAGGTGCGTGTCTTCTAAAATCAACACCGGAGCACTGACCAAACAGCCTGTGGTCGACACAGCAGCACAATGAGCTGTAAACACGAGGGTTGTCTTCTGCAGACCTCATTTGTTCTATTCTGTTTAAATGGTGCTCTTTGGTAGCCTGGCAAGCCAGACTAAATAAATGTATTATTTAGTCTGGCCACGCTCCATTGACGGCTCTCAGTTGTGGGGCGGGTTCTACCGTTGTCTTTCAAATGATCTCCACATTCCACTGGACAATGAATGTGACATACTCTTGTTTCACTCTGTTGCATCATCCCACCCACCAGGCATATAGAGTGCCCTGATTGGCCCACAAAGCGGATAAAGCTCTGTGATTTGTTCACTAAGCAGATAGAGCACTATAATTGGCCCACCATTATGGACCAATCACAGCTCTTTATGTGTTTGAAACCCCTCTAGAGAGCTGTGATTGGCCAGCCAGAGTCCTGGTAGGAGCTGCTGAGGTTCCAATGGAGCGTGCCTAGACCAAACTTTGCAAAGCAAGAATTTGGTCTAGTTCACTAGGCTAGGTCTTTGGGGCTTTAGGGCTTCACCATCAATAACTCTGGTTTTAAAGCAATAAACAGACGAGAGGTTCAGCTTTTAGACTAAATCAGAAACTTTCCCCTCGTATTTATTAATAATGTGGTCCTCTGTGTGCTGATGAGGCACAGATGTTTAAAACACAAAAGCAAATGTGTACTTATCAGGTCGTGATGGGATAATGGGATTTGAGGATGATAGACTGCCTGTAGCTCTGATGCAGAGTTATTTTTATGAAGGAGGTTGCACATTTTTCACACCTAACAAAGAGAAGGGAACCTTTCCTTCCTCTGTAGCCGGTGGCTTAGTAATCACACCCCTCCCATCACTGAATCCCCTTTGCTTTGACCCTGGCTCCCCTCTCTGCTCCTCTTCTCTGGATTCATTGAACAGCCTGCCTTTCAAGTTGGCCCTGGGGAGGATCCAGACCACGACCCCCATCATCACAAGCGCAGAGCCGAGGCAGGACAGCCCAATGCCGGCTGCAGTGCTGAGGTGCAGCCCCCTGTTGAAGCTGATGGCCTGGGCGTCAACAAAGAACAGGTCTCCTTCCCCAAAAGACTCGATCCTATGGGGTGTGGAGAAGCCAACTGAGAGAGACACGATGCCTGCAGTCAGAACCAGGAGACCCAGAGCCAAGGACACCTGCAGCCGGAGGAAGAAGCGCTGATTGAGTGGCTTTTGTGTAGGTGGGGTGGGGGGTAGGTGTATTTTGTTCTCATCAGGAAAGGTCACGATGTTGTTTGTACTGCAGAAAGCAAAACATAGTCTAGCATGCAGGAAACCTAGATGGAATCCCCTCGGCTTTGCAAATACCACCGTGCCAGTAGTTCATCATGAGGAGACGCACGGTGCAGAACGCACAATTTATTAGCCTGGATAAGTTCAACACTGCCACTAGAAAACCAGCCAGCAGAAGACTCTGCAGCCACCCTCAGGCCAGAAAAATAAAAAGTAAATCAACTCTGGGTAAAAGGAAAATTCAAAGGACAAAATCTACTTTTTATTTTAAAGCACAGTGGAGCATTGCAACAGCTTTACATCGACTTCCCCACAATCCAAGGTTTCCAATTTTTCATCTTCTGACTAAACAGAAATGAAGGAATGGGAGGGTTGTCTGAGGCTAGTAAAGGACCAGAAGCAGCCCTTCTTGCACCATTTACAAGAAGCTATTAAACAAAATGCTGGTGAAGATTCTCAGTCATCCAGGTCACAGTAACCCAAAGGGGTTCGAATGAAGGTAACTGGACTTCTTCGGTTTGTTGAAAACGTTTCATTCTCATTCAAGACACTTTGTTAATTCTGACTGGAATATGGGAGAGTTAGCTTATAAACTGTGGCTGTCTATTGGTGCTTAAAAAGGAGAAACTCCTTATGAACAGTCCTCCTCCCTACCCTCTGAGGAGTCGGTGGAGTCATTAGCCTAGCCTCCACTGGTCAAACCTAATTCCCAAACCGTTTCAGTCTCGGTCACACCCTCCTAAATCTACTCAATACGGTTCCACACAGTAGAGGTTAACGACTCCAATGACTCCTCAGGGGGTAGGGAGGAGGGGTATTCATAGGTAGTTTCAGCTCGTTAAGCACCAATAGACAGCTACAGTTTACAAGCTCGAACCTCCTATATTCCAGAAAGAATTGACAAAGCTCCTTGGGTGAGAAGTGAAACATCTTCAAGAAACCAAAGAAGTCCAGTTGCCTTCATTCCAAACCCTTTTATATAAAAAAAACTAAACAAAACACAATCTAATAAAAATCTAATTTTTATTGTGAATTTGAAGAGCAGCAAAAACAGAAGCATAAACGTTTTTATGAGTTTAAATCACAGAACGTTATACGTGTTTTGGACTAAATCAGGTCTAGACTTTAAGTAAGGTTGGTGATTAAAAGCTTTAAAAAAAGAGAAGAAGTTGCTTTAACAATTAAAAATTGGTTTTACGAGGATAAAAGTCACTGCTTGTCGGCATGAGCTTTACCTTCCAGACAGCTGAGTTCCACCACAGGGCTGACCTCTGGCTCTGGACGAATCCTCGATTCTCCGGGTCTCTCTCCCACATGGAGGACGAGCACTCTTCATAAAAGTGGTGCAAATAGGAACGAACCCCAAACTGAAGGCAGCTGGAATCCCCCTACATAGACAGAAAGATCAAAGCCACCAACTCACATGAAAGCACTAAAGTCCTTCTGATATTTCTGTAGCAGTGTAGCAACAGTTCAAATCATTTTGGCAGAGTTGGATTCTGATGTGTAGAGTTGTTTCTTGGAGATAAAATTTAACGTTGAAGCCAAATAAGTAGGAACTAATGTCATACTGATGAGCTGGTGGGTTACTCGACCTTTCCACTGGATGTTTGAGCAGCACGTAACATAACAGATGTTTTCTACCAACTGGAGTGTTTCAGATACGAAACAGCAACAGAAGTGTTCCACGCAGCAGGTTCCGTGAGGTCATGAAATCACGGGACAATTACAACACCAGATGTGATTTTGGCATTTCACGAGATAACAAACGAGGAGAACGATAGCAACATGTATCGAAAAAGGTTTGTGGTTTAGATTCTGCACCGTTACCTCGCCTACTCAGGTTTCATATGAAAATCATGTACGTTTTTCTCAGGAACTGGAAATCTGCCCGTGACTTTTAATTTGAAAGTCTGTAGATGTTTACACTGCTTTAATGTGTGACTTCCTGTCTGTCCTGAACTGGGCTGTGGAGCCTGACGTGTTTTAGAGGTGCTGCATGTAAAAGGCAGAGTCAAAGCAGAAGCAGCGCGTCCACGCTTCGATGGCGGCGGCTAATTGTTGTGTAATACTTTTCACGGACATTACGCAACACTTGCACGTCCGGTGGAGAGGCAGGCTTAGAGTTCACCTTACCTATGACATCATTTCCAGCTAATTGGGCCGTTCCATCGGACGAGTAACGTCTGCGAAACTTTGCACGCAGCAATTATAGTGAATGACAAATGACCTGTTACGACCCCCCAAGGCACATTACACAAAGATATAATGACTGCAATAGACAGAGGTCAAACCTGCAACTCTCCGGTTACAAGGTGGGTCCACAACTCATCTGCTAGCATCCTCTTTAGTTGCGATACGTTTTGCCGATTTGAGTCCATTTGTTACATACTACGCTTCTAGAACGTCGGCTGTTCAGTTCAGATTGGGCCAAACAGGAAGTCAAACACGAAAGCAGTGTAAAACATCCAGAAACTTTCATAATAAAAGCCGTGCAGATTTCCAGTTGCTTAACTTGCTAAAATAAGTATGTCATTTTCTGTGAAACCTTTGTAGTCAAGGTAAATAAACAGAAATTACAGCACAGAGCCTTTTGGATACGTGCAGTCGTCTTTCTACTTGTTTATCATGTGAACTGCCAAAATCACGCGAGATCTCGCAATTCTCAGGTGATTTCTTGACGTCGCAGGACCAGCTGTGAGAAACACTTTCACTGCCGTTATGTTTCTGAAATGCCCTCAATAGGAAGGGAGCTCAGGTAAAAAGCGTCTGTTATGTTGTGCTCCGCCCACTCATCCAGTTGAACAGGACAGGTGCCTTTATGAAACAGTACATGTGGTTTTTGGAGCTTTGGTCTGTGAAGCTAGTCAGATACAAACTAATTACACTAAAATCTGGATTTATGTGTATTCTTTATAAAATTCTGTCCAAGACTGAACATAAAATATCAGAGAAAAACTTTAGTTGCACAAAAGAAATGTCAGCATCATAACATTCGAGGGCAGAAAATCCACTCTAGTAAAATCAAAAGAACAGATCATCAGAGCATCAGAAAGGTAAAAGAGCAGTTCCGAGGGCTAAGGTCATAAAACGTTCCTCTCTCTCTTTTACAGTTTCTAATCTTCATAAGATGCTTCATTCATTTAAAACTGTTCAGATGAGCAGAGACGAGCTTCACTGGTACCATCCAGTCCTATTCACAGCACACAGATCCGACTGTGGTTCCAAGAGCAGAGATCAGGTCCTAACTTTGGCCTCACAGCTGGAATGTGACTCCTGCACAAACATCTTCATGAAGTATGGACCCGTTTGATACTCACCTCACTGCCAGAGGAGTCTCCTCCAGAGCCTGAAGCACACGCCTCTGAGCACATCGCCATTGTTCGCCTCTCAAACCTGCAGTCAAGTAACAAAAGTTACCAGTTAGTAGCTAGATGATGGTGTCAGAACTCACTAAACCATGATCCTAATACTTTGAACAAAAGAATAAACAGGAAAAAAGGTTCAGCTGGCTTTGGTTTGGAGAATTCAGAAGCACAGATTATTATTGTGTACATAACAGATTCTTCTCCCTTCCAACAGAGACTCGTCATGAATCTTGACCCGTGTCGTCATCTGGCCCTGCTGCTGCCTGAGAGTGGCTGACGGCCTCTTGAGTGACGCTATCGCGCCGCCCACGCATGAGTCACACAAAACCTACTGCATCCTCACATCCCTCCATCCTCACATTCAATTCAATTCAAATTCAAAGATACTTTATTAATCCCAGAGGGAAATTAGAGTTTCAGTACACACAATTCTGAGATCAGACATACATACATAGGCATAGACACATGACAAGAATTGGTGACTGTGGTCATTCGCAACCCGAGTCGCGCTACCTTAATAGAGATCAATAGAGAGAGGGTTTATATGAGGATAGAGTCAGGGGGAAGGAAAAAAGGCACTTCAGAGTTACCCTCAACAGGGAGGGCAGCTTTGCTATGCAGAAATGCACACAGACTTCAGACATTACACAACATAAGTGTCCACTAGGTGGGGAGGTAGGGTTGGGACTCTCCACACTTCAGTGCGTGCAGCCGCATGGAGCAGCGCTCATCACCTCCGTTTGGACGGGGGAGGGGGATAATGGGTTAGAGAGCACAGTGACTCCTTTGATACGGTTCCACGGCCTTCACCGGTCACAGTCCTGCCCAGGCTGGGATAGGGAGAAAGAGTTTCCATAGCGACTGCAGCATTCCACATTTCTTCTGAGGGGAGTTTACACTTCAGCCTCACACGCTCCAAAGGCACCAGATTCAGATCAAAATTGTTTTGGGACAGACAGAGATAACTTCCTCTCTGCTTTAGTGATCTGTTGGTCTTCAACCCCTCTAGATCCAATAATGGCGTAATCAATCTTTCCCAATCCGTGCTGATCCATCAACTCGTTCCTTGATGGCATCAACCTTTTGTGTCAGAGTCTGAATCCCAGCCAAAATTCCAAGCTTACGACTCATCTCGACAATTATATGAGTTTGTGCGTTCACAGCACGATGCATTTCATCCCTGATCTCCGAGATTGAGCCAATATTCCTCGAAAGCTCGTTAATTTTCCGGTAAGCCAGATAACCGCTCAGGCCAAACAGCAGGAATCCCGACACCAAAACAACAAATTTTCAGACATCTTCAGAATCCTCTACAGACAGTTGAGGGAGGCAGATCAGGTTCCACTGTTTCCAGGAGTCCATGATATACCCAGCTGGCTCTGTCCCAGAGGGGCATCCGGAAGCCCCTTCTCCTGTTCTCAGCATTGAAAAAATGTTGTCAATCGCGTTGAGAGACCAACTGACCAGGTCCATTTTTAATAATTTCCAGTTTCCAGCAAAAATGCAGAAAGCGCCGTACATCCTAGGACAGGACAAAGAGTCTTGGGATAAGATAGGGAGGAGAGGAGGAAAAAAAGCATCTGTATTCTCCAAGAGCCAGAAGAAGGAGGACATCCCCCCATCCTCACATCCTTCCATCCTCACATCCTTCCATCCTCACATCCCTTCATCCTCACATCCCTCCATCCTCACATCCCTCCATCCTCACATCCCTTAATTTTTGAATGTTTTTGTGTTCATTCATTTAAATATTTCTCTTCATACTGTTCCTCTAATCTGAATCTTCATGAATGAATTCATGGAATCACTCTGTATCCAAAATAATGTCAAAATTAAACTTTGCTCCACTATTATTTACTAGTAATAACAAGAGTTTGTTTACATCTAGTTATTTAGCAGATGTGTTTATTTTAAACAACTTACAAGTTTCCTTGCATGCATGTCTTTGGCTTCTTGAGGGAATCGGGTGTTGCATGATGCAACCATGCAGTCCAACACCAGCCGAGTTATCAGCAACAACAACAACAACAACAACAACAACAATAATAATAATAGAAGAACTGTCCAGATTTACTGAAAGTAAAAACCTCAGATTTACTTTTTAATATTTGAAAACGTATGAGTACAAATTACTGAACTCAAAGCTCGGTCCAAAAGGAAAATGTGTACAGAAATGAATGTAAATGTTAATAAAAGTAAAACAAAAGAAAAAAGCCACTGGGCTGTAATTTATTTTTTTTCTTTAACCCTCCCACTTTGTTACTGGGGTCAAATGGGCCCCAGGTGCATTTTATTATTTATTTATTTCTTTTTTAGGAGTGCACCACTTCACCCTTTGCCAAGGGATAAACCATCAACCATGTTTAACCCCTCCCTGTCCTGGAGGGGTCACCTGATAGGACATAGTCTCACCTGGCCAGCCGAGAGACATAGTCCCTCCAGCATGATCTGGGTCTTCCTTTAGGTCTTTTCTATTGGGCCATTCCCATCTGTACCGGGTCGGCCCGGGCCGGGTAGCCCCAGTCGGCCCCAGCCTGGCCCGGTTGATTCCACATCCTTGCCTTAAGCCCATGTGGGCTGATTCTACCCACCAATCAGAGGCTTGCTCTAATGGAAGGTGTGAGTTTGCTGTCAGCAGTGGGTGTGTTGGCCCTGGTCGGCCTGAAGCAGACCCCCTCGAGAAGAGGGCTGAGAATGAGCCTTGGTTGGCCCGGAAAAATACCAGGCCACCCAGATATGTAAACAACCTACGCTACCCGGCCCGGGCCGACCCGGTACAGGTGGGAATGGCCCATTAGACGTGCCCGGAAAATCTGACTAGGGAGATGTCCAGGACACATCCTAACTAGATGCCCGAGCCACCTCAACTGGCTTCTCTCGATGTGGAAGAGCAGCGGGTCTACTCCAAGCCCCTCCGAGATGACCAAGCTTCTCACCCTATGTCTAAGGGAGAGCCCAGACACCCTGCGGAGAAAACTCATTTTGACTGCTTGTATCTGAAATCTCGTTCTTTCGGTCACTACCCAAAGCTATTGAGCATAGGTGAGAGTTGGAACATAGGCCGACCGTTAAATCGAGAGCTTCACCTCTCTTCACCACAACAGACCGGTACAAAGCCTGCAGTACTGCAGACGCAGCACCAATCCACCTGTTGATCACGTGCTCCATCGTTCCCTCACTCGTGAACAAGACCCCAAGATACTTCAAAGTCTCTACTTGAGGCAGGGCCTCATCCCTGACCTGGAGAAGGCCTTCTACCCTTTTCTGATTTAAGTCATGTACAGGCTGGTTTAAAATCTAGCTTTCAAAAGCAAAAATGTATTTAGATAAATAAAATCCAAAGGTTGAATTATTTATCTATTATGATATATGAAAGGGTAAAATATATGTTCTATAAATTGCATTTATTTTAATTTAATAACTTAATTTCTGTTGTTTACCCCGATCCTACCGTGTTCTACAGACATCTGACAGGTTCATTTGTTGCTATTACTAATAATGCTTATGTGGTTTAGCTTCTATTGGCTGCTAAATGCAATTCAACTGTAATCAAATTTAATTAAATGTAATGAAATAAACAGTATAATATACTACTTTAAACCCTCCAAAAAACGAACAAACCAAAGACACATTTTCAGCTATTCAGGTTAAACAGGCCTTTGTAAAAGACTTTATGGGGCCAGCATGGAGCTGTCCATGGTGCTGGTGACTATCCTAACCCTGCTGCTTCCCAGGGATGTTCAAGCCAGAATAAACCCACAAAACTCGTTTAGAGACAACAAGTATCTTATTTATTTATAATCCGGAGTCTAAACTGTTCAGAAAACTCAACCAGATTAAGTAATTCTTTTAAAATCACTGATTAAGGGTAAACTATGCAAATTAGTACATCCTAGAGCAAATGAAAACGTCAGATTTATTTATTTATGTTTTAATTGGTCCCTCAGCGCTGACCTAATGCCGCCGCCGCTGCTGGACGCAGGCATGGCGGAACAAGCAGCCTCTGTCCGTCCGTCGCATCTCCGTTTCCTCCCGTCCTCACAATCCGACTATCAGAGCCCACATACGGACAGAGAATCGGTGTCTTACCCGCTCCTCGCCGTTCTCACTGAGGATCCATGTTTCGCTGGACCAGTTGATCACCAACGCTGGCGCTGATCAAAATCCGCTGATGTAGCCACTGCGCATGCGTGAAGCTGGTGGGAGGGGGAGGCGAGACGGAGAGAGAGAAAGAGAGAGAGAGAGAGAGAGTCATGAAGAGAATTGTAAACTTGACTGAAAGTGACTGAAAGCATCTGGCATCATCATTACGACTGAATTGGTCCTGATAGGTCACAATCTAGACTAAATCACATACAACTTTAGACATGAAAAAAGTTAAGACAGAGTAGAAAATAAATAATAAATACTATAATAAAGCTCTATGATGCCTTCAGGAACACGTTTTTTCCCAGGAATTTCTGTTTCCCCTGACAGAGTGTAAGCCCACAATATGTCATGGCTGAGGAAGATATGGGTCCTGGCTTTTGTTTATTATTTATTGGGATCAGTTACATCATATTGTATGAGTTATCCATTCGTCCATCCATCCATTTCCTGCTGCATATTCTGGAGATGGGGAATTGTGGCATCAGCAAGTCAACTCCATGCCATGTTTTCCTTCAGCTCAGCAACTAAACCAGGCGATTTTAATCAGCACAGTGACAGAACCTGGTTCAGTTGCTGAGCTGAAGACAAACATGGCATGGAGTTAACTTCCCATGTCTGGCATATTCTAAGGCAGGGGCGGGGAACCCTGGTCCATCAAGGGCCGCTATCCAGCATATTTTAGTTTCAACTCTGCTTCAATACACCAGATTTCAATCAACAGGTGATTAACAGGCTTCTGCAGAGCCTGATGAGCTGCTGAACAGATGAATCAACCACTGAATCAGAACTGTTGGAGCAAAGATGTGCAGGATACCGGCCCTCGAGGACCAGCGTTCCCCATGCTAAGGTCTGATTGAGAAGTCACACTCCATCTCCATGGCTATGGTATCCCTTCTGATCGATGTGGTGGCACTGGTTTGGAGGCTTCTATGGACATGTGACCAGGAAGCATCCTAATTAGATCTCTGAAAGGCCATAAGTGAAGTGACTCATTTCAGTGAGGAGGACCATTGTAACTTAGTTTTTCTTGTAAGAGTTTTCAGAGGGACAGGTATATTGTTGATAAACACAAACAGGTGAAATAAATGATCTGAGACAAAGCCTGGAATGTTTTAGGATGGTATGTAGCCGTTGTTCATCGATCATTAGATGACGATGGCTAAAGGCGTCAGGATCTGCTCCTTCTCCCTGGGACGTGTTGTCCTGTCTCCCCTCATTAACCTGCCCCTTGTTATCTGACCCACCTGATTCCCCTTGTGTTTTTAAACCCTCTGTGTTTGTGCTCGTCTTTTTCAGATCCTCATCTTGTCTTCCCTTTGTGTCACCCTACCCACCATTATTCACATTAAACACCTTTTTTCCTGCCTGTCTTCCTTCTGTTCCTGCTCACTTGCGTTTGGGTCCTATTGCAATCACCACTTCTTCATGAGTGAAGGATCTCACCAGACCGGACCCAGAGGTGAGCTCCTGCTAGCCTGCAGGAGGAACTCCTTGGTTTTCTATGGCAGCAGCAGGATCAAGAAGATTATGTAGAGATGTGGCACAGACGCAGCTGTTCCTGGGTGGTTGGGCACTTTTCACTGCTCCTCAGCTGCTAACCCCTCATTAAGCACCTGTCATTGGTGCCTGAGGTCCTTGTAAAGCACCCTCTGATGACCCTTGTGCTCCGTGGTCCTCTCCAGCCATCTCTAGTGGCTCAGTTTCAAAGATCCAGCGATTCCCTGTCCTGTGGCTCCAGCTGTGCTGCATACAAAGAGGCCCCAGCTTGTTGCCCGGTCTTGAGGACCCTGTTGTGAGGTCTGAGGTTCCAACCTCCACTGGGTTTCTTGGCTCACCCGTTTTCCTGTTTGTTCCTTTTTTGGTCATCGGGATCCACCCTTAAGTGAGGGGTTCTGTCGGGATCTGGTCCTTTTCCGTCTGACTTGTTGTCCTGTCTCCAGGACTCACCTGCTCCTTGTTACCTTACCCACCTGATTCCTGATACCTCTCGTTAATTGAAACTCTCTGTTTGTGCTTGTCTTTGATGGATTTGTGTCTTGTCTTCCCATTGTGTCGCCCTACCTACCATTATTCATATTAAACACTTCTTTTGCCTGCCAGTTTGCCTCCAGTTCCTGCTAACCTGCCTGGGTCAGATTCAATTCAAGTTTATTTATAAAGCGCCAAATCATGACAAGAGTCGTCTCAAGGCACTTCACATAATAAACATTCCAATTCAGGTCAGTTCATGAAGCCAATAAGAAATAATGTTTCCTATATAAGGAACCCAGCAAATTGCATCAAGTCACTGACTAGTGTCAGTGACTATACAGCAATCCTCATACTAAGCAAGCATGCAGCGACAGTGGAGAGGAAAACTCCCTTTTAACAGGAAGAAACCTCCATAAGCAGCCATCCTCCACGACTCACTGGGGATCGAGAAGACAGAGCAGACACACACACACACACACAAACACACACACACACACACACACACACACACACACACACACACACACACACACACACACACGCACGCACGCACGCACGCACGCACGCACGCACGCACACACACACACACACAGACAAGTAATGTGTCTATAGTTATATTGTGATGTCTTAGTAAATATTGTATGTGGTGAGAGATAAACTTTATTGTATTTATCCTAGTGGATCTATAATAAAACAGGTAAACTAGTATTAGCACATCCAACGTCAAGAAAAGCAAAAAGTTATTATCAGGAGAGGGATAATGTTTAAGTGGTTAGCAGTAGTGTGCTAGACGATGGCCCCCTCCATGAGGCCACCACAGCTCAGCAGAACATTGTTGTAGCTTCTTCTGGGGAGAAAAACACTTAGAGAGAAAATAAAGTTAACAGCTGAAATTGCAGAAAATAATACAGTTAAAGAGCAAATTGTAGAAGAAAGCAGTAGAGTGTGAAAAGTGGTCAGTGTATCCTCCAGCAGTCTAAGCCTATAGCAGCATAACCATAGAGATAACTCTGGATAACCTAGCCTTTTTAAATGGAGGCATGTTGGAGGCAGGGCAAGGGAGAGCCGTCTTTACCGACTGTACACTCCACCTCCCTCTACTCCCCCACTTGTCCAGATCTAGGCTAACATCAGATTGTAACCATAGGCCCTATCAAATAAAAATGTTTTAAGCCTAGTCTTAAAAGTAGACAAGGTGTCTGCCTCATGGACTAAGGCTAGGAGCTGGTTCCACAGGAGAGAAGCCTGATAACTAAAAGATCTGCCTCCCATCCTAAGTTTAGATATTCTGGGAACCACCAGTAAACCTCCAGTCTGAGAGCGAAGTGCTCGGTTAGGAACATATGGAACAATCAGATCACTGATGTATGATGGAGCTTGATTATTAAGAGCTTTATATGTGAGAAGAAGGATCTTAAAATCTATTCTGAATTTAACAAGTAGCCAATGTAGGGAAGCCAAGACAGGAGAGATATGATCTCTCTTTGTAATTCTCATCAGAACTCTAGCTGCAGCATTTTGGACAAGCTGAAGACTTTTAACTACATTCTGTGGACTTCCTGAGAGTAATGAATCACAGTAATCCAGTCTTGATGTAATAAATGCATAAACTAGTTTTTCAGCATCACTCCTGGAGAGGATGTTTCTAATCTTAGCAATATTCCGAAGGTGGAAAAAGGAAATCCTACAAACCTTTTTAACCTGGGATTTGAATGACAAGTCCTGGTCAAAGATAACACTAAGGTTCCTTACTGTTCTCGGAGATTAATGTAATGCCATTCAGGTCAGGTGATTGATTAAGCTATTTCCTTTTCTGGATTTCTGGTTCAAAGATGAGAACTTCCGTCTTGTCTTGATTTAAAATCAAAAAGTTTAGAGTCATCCAATTTTTTATGTCCTCAAGACAAGCCTGTAATCTACCCAACCGATTAGGTTCATCAGGGTTAATGGATAAATATAACTGAGTATCGTCAGCATAACAGTGGAAGTTTATCCCATGCTGTCTAATGATTTTACCAATTGGGAGCATATATATAGTAAAAAGAATTGGTCCAAACACTGAACCCTGTGGTACTCCACAAGTAACCCTGGAGTATGAAGAAGATTTGTCATGTACATTTACAAAATGAAATCTGTCAGACAGGTAGGATTTAAACCAGCCTAACGCTGTTCCTTTGATCCCTACAACATGTTCAAGTCTTTCTAAAAGAGCATTGTGATCAACTGTGTCAAAGGCAGCACTGAGATCTAACAAGACTAGAACAGACACAAGATTCTTATCTGAGGCCATGAGAATATCATTTGTAACTCTCACTTATGCAGTTTCAGTACTGTGATACTCTCTAAAACCAGACTGAAATTCCTCAAACAGAGCATTAGTGTTTAAATGCTCACATACTTGGATGGCCACTATTTTCTCCAGGACTTGGGATAAAAATAAAAGGTTAGATATTTGTCTATAATTCATTGGGTCATCTAGATCCAGAGAAGGCTTCTTAAGTGAAGGTTTGATTACAGCAACCTTAAAATCCTGTGGTACATATCCATTTACTAAGGATAGATTGATTATATCTAGAATGGGGGCAGTAACCAAAGGAACTGCTTCTTTAAATAATTTGGTTGGGATTGGATCTAAAATGCAAGTTGAAGGTTTAGATGAAGCTAATATTTTTGATAACTCTGAAAGCTCAACTGGATCAAAACGGTTCAAGCACAGATGAGGTTCTACAGTCACCTCTGATGCTGCCTCACTTACTGAGGAAGAAGAAATCACATTAGGGAGGATGCTAAAGATTTTGTTTCTAATAGAAGTAATTTTACTTGTAAAAAATCCCATGAAGTCATTGCTGCTTAGGGCTAAGGGAATAGATGGCTCAGAGTTATGATTCTGTGTAAGTTTAGCAACTGTACTGAAGAGAAATTTAGGATTATGCTTATTCTCCTCAATTAATGCTGAGAAATAAGCAGTTCTAGTTTGTCGAAGCTTATTTTTTATAAAGCACAAGACTATTTTTCCAGGATAGGTA